GTAACCTTAAGTTGTCACCATTGCTGTTAATTAAAATTATATTCAATTATGAAACTATTGTTCTTTGTTTGACCATCATATCTAGAAACTACTGAAGGACTACAGATCTTTTTTAGGTTTAATATCCTATGATTATTTTTAATATAATAAAATGTAACCTGATGGAGCCTTAAAGAAACCTCTTGCACCGTTGTCTAGCTGCACTGTCCAGTACGATAGCCACGTGTCCACTGAGCACTTGAAATGTGGCTAGTACATATCGAAGTGTGCTGCCTCTATAAAATACATATCAGATTTCAAAGACAGTAAAAAAATATATATTATTAACAATTGTTATATTTTGGATATATTAACTTAAATAAATGTATTGTTAAACTTAATTTTACCTGTTTCTTTTTACTTTTGTAATGTGGCCACTAGCAAATTTTAAATTGCATATGTGGCTTGCATTGTATTTCTATTGGGCATCTCTGTTCTAAAGTCCAAGTGTATTCATGATTACCGTGATTATTCGTGCTATTTCTGACAGTGGCTTGTTTCCATGCCTTTGTGGTCACACCAAACCATAATAGCTGACCTACATCTGTTACACAACAGCCTCATCAACCTAACTAAAATCTCCGCTCTTTCTCATTTTTCGCAGCACATGGTCATGGGACTAGTCCTCTTTATTAGTCTCCTTTTGATTATTATCACTTCATTGTTCACAATTTAATATCAACTTTTATATCTAAATCTATCAACCTAATGTCTGACACTCTCCAACAGCTGATTACCCCATAGCTCTCCAAAACCATTTATTTGTATTTTCTGGCCTAGACCCACTCAGACCTACTATTTGCACATGCTTATCTTTTGTGCTCACTTGCTTTTAAAGTGCAGTGTTGTTTCTATTACTCCCTATCAATCCATGACATGACCTTCTCTTTCACATTCACTACACAGATTTTCTCCCCTAAAAGATCTTCCACAGTTGGCTCCACATAGTTCTCTGTACCAGTCTTCTTGATACCTTTTCATATCTCCTTTACTACTTCATGGCATGAATTTGAATTCATTGAGTGATCTCATTAAAATATATTTTAGATAATTCATATGTGGCTCTATCTCTGTACTAATTTATAAATTATTTTGAAATAATTTATAAATTATTTCATAAGATGACAACTCAATAATAGATCTGAAAGATCAAGTATTTGTTTTACAAGTGAGGCAGCTGAGGACCAGAGCATTTAAGTGACTTGTCAGAGGTTACATGAGTAATCAGTGGCAAAATTGAGACTGGAGCTCCCCATCTTCTACTGGTACTACTCGAACAAGCCACCTTTAATTTTCTAATTTATTCTTCCAGCCCCTTGCATAAATCGAGTGGTCTCAACTGAGCCATGCAGAGGCATCAGCAGCTGATTAGTAGTACCTAAGCAGAGGACACTGGATTATTAGGCTGGGGCTAAGAGCAATGAATCTCCTGTAGGGTCGACCCCATGGGACAAAGAGCAAGCTAAATCATAGGTGAGTGAGCAGGGGATAGAGGCAGGCTCCTGTCACTACAGAGCTGCTGAAATGAAATTTAGACATCTGAAGAAGCTGAAGCCTAACTATAATAACTGAGCATGTGTAATGGATTTGTGCAGAAAGAAGGAAGATGTCTGCACAGAGAACAGCAGGTTGCCAAATATGAAACATCAAGTTTAGGTTCTAGATCCCATTCACCGAGCCAATCGCAGACCATATTGCTCCTTTGATATTGTCTTGAACTAGGTAGGCTCAATCTAGGTAGAATGAGCCTGAAACATGAATGTCTTTCATTATAATAGTTTGAGGAAACTAATTAAGTAAGGCAAGGTAGATAATACTAAGCTCTACACATAATTTGTACTTAACAAATGCCATAAACTGGTACTTACAGAATGAGAGAGACAGAGAGAGAGGAGCTTGTTAAACCTGTCCTCATCTTCTTCACACTATCAATTTGCAGAGGATCACAAATCTGTTATGTGATAGTTTATATTCCTCAAAAGCAACACATGAATCCATATGGGACTTGGTTTACCATTTAATGGTTAATTTTCTGCTAAAATGATGTAATAGCTTCCGATCACTTCCACCTATGGTGAAATTGTTTAGATTTTGTATAAAATACCTTTTGAAATACCTGTACTTACTCCTTGCTGTGTCGCAGTTGCACATTTTGCTTGATATTATTCCCAAGAAGTCATTTAATTTCGGAATTGTTTTGCCTAACTGACAGCTGTCAATTAGAAATGGATCCATAGGATGAACAATTTGACAGCATGTAGTTTAACCCTTAGATTGCACTGATTCTTAATTTATGAGTTGGTTTAATTTATGAATAGCTCTATGTCATGAGACTCAGATTTTACCAACCCCTTTCTTTGAGTTTTTCCCAGGTCTACAATCAAACAAACATTTAATAAAAATGGCTATTTCAGCTGTTGAATATGTTGGTGGCAAGTAAGTTCAGAAGTGTGAACAAAAATCCTTGTGTCATTACCTGATTTTAAAATATGATGCCAAAGAACATAGTAGTGTTTTTCAGTGGTGATGGGATGGAAAAACCACAAGATTAAAAACTTGAATCTAGATAGCGCAGACAGGTTAATAATGTTTGTCTGGTTTGACTCACTAGATTGTTCTGAGAGGTAATTTTTAAATAGAAAGTTTTGTTATTATTTAGAGAGCTTCAACAAGGTTTTAGAAGAGGTTTCAAGATAAGAAAGGAAATTAATCTCTGTTAGCCTGAGCCAGCACTAAATCTAGTGTAAAAAACCTTGCAGTGCTCAGGTAAACAGAGGGAGTAAGATCACAGATTCTATCAGGCCTATGGTGCAAGTTTATAATTGAACAATGGACAGAAAGAGAAGGCTAGGAACATACACCATTTGTTTGTTTTTAAAACTCTTTAATGTATGTCTTCAAACTGCAAAACAAGAAAATGAGAAAACACACTTCATTTCAAAATTTAAGTGAGAAGAATTCCATTTTAATTATGTGGTAAAAGTCAATACTTAAACATTGTTCAGGGAAGTCTTTTGCTACAATGCAGTTGTTCTCAACCAGGAACAAGTTTGCCCACCAGGGGACACTGGCCAACGTCTAGAGACACTTAATTGTCACAACTAGAGAGTGCTATCGACATCTAGTGGGTAGAGGCAAGGGATGCTGCTAAATATCCTACAATGCAAAGGACAGCATCTCACAATAAAAAAAATCCACTGGCATGAAACCAATAGTGCCTGCTGCAATGTATGGGAAAAGGTACTCTACATATCCTCCTGGGTTTTTTCCACTAATATATCTATATAAAACTAATATTTCCCATTCACTGTCTTTGCCAAAAATAAGAAAGAAGTGGTATCCTGAAAAAAACAGATGTCTAAAATTGTTCCTTTAGATAAATATCTGTTTTAGCAAAATCTAATATAGCCTTAGTGAAATGAGAAATTATTTTGAAATTTTGCACTGATGATTTGAGATTATTGAGAAGCTTCTTAGAGGCCCCCTCTTCAGTTATTGCCATTGATGTTCCTCACAGCATCCTTCTAAGACATGCCGTTTCTAAAATAAATAAAAAATCATTAACCACTTAAAAAATTTCAAATATTATTATAAATAATAAACAGAGAACACTTATTAAACATTAAATGAGCCTTCAAATTCAATTAACCATAAACATTTCTACCAAAAGAATGGTGCCTTCATTAAATAAAACAATTGATAAGTGAATAAGAACCTAGGAAGATTCCTAAACATCATTTCTCTTTTCATGGTATTAATTACTTCTACAGGAAGAAAGAAAAGCAGTGTTAATATTACCTTTAACCTACCATTTAAAAATAGACTTCTTATGTTGAAAGCAATGATGCAAGAACATGTAATTTAAATAGATTCTACATGTAGAATGGTTAGGAGGCATTAACGTCACAAACAAATTTCTCATGTCAAGAGGCTACCCATTTGTTCTAGCAATAAATTATCAAGTTGCAAACTAAGAATGATATTGCCTGGTCAAAAGAAAATGCAATTTATGGAAATGTGCTTTGCATTCGCATGCTTTTTCCCACTGATAAAAATAATAAAAATCATTGTCATAAGAATGGTTGCCATTTAGTAATCACCTATGATGCACCAGAACCTATGCCAGACAATCAGTATGCACTGTGCTGATTACCACAGCTATCTGGCTGGATGGATATTTTCCTCCAGAAAGCCAAAGCTCAGCTAAGAATAAGCGTCTACACAACTCTAAAGTAACAGACTACAATTCAAACCCAGGAGGGCCTTACTGTACAACCAATGACAGGTCATGGTCTCCACTGTAGTAAAACTCATAAACTCAAGAAAATTAGATTTATTTTTTATTCCTTTGTATTTTTCTTTGAACAAGATCCTATCATTCAAATGCCTAAGCTCAGATCATAAAAGATTGCTATAGTTACACATTAATTCTTGCCTTACATTTAATTCCATAAAGGCATTTTGCTCTGTTTTTTGTGCTCTTATTTTTCTAGTCCCAAGTCATAGAGGGAAAATATATTTTTGTTTGGAATATATCTCTAGCTCAATTTCTTTCCAGTAGCGTGACTTTGATCAATTCAGACATTTGTCACTGTTCACACACACACCCCCCCTCATTTGTAGACGTCACAGGACGTAGAAACAAGATGTTTAGCATCAACGAGAAGAGCCTGTATGTTCTCTCTGAAACTTTCCTTGCTGCTCAGCTCTGTGCGTGTGTGTGTGTATAGGTGTGTGGTGTGTATGTGTGTGTGTATGTGCGTTTGTATGTGTAAAGAAAGCTTTAGAGGAGGATGGGAAAGAGAGTTTCTAAGAGAGAAAGAGAGAGAGGAAGAAAGAAAAGAAGAGGCAATAGAAAGAGGGAGAGGAAAAGAGAGAAAGGAGGGAGGACTGCTTTATAGCTGCTAAGATTGCAGACAGAAATAGCACACAACCACTGTGAGCTGTATGAGACTCAGAAACCCAGACTAAATTGTGTTCACTTTTCTTAATCAGTTACTCAGAGAGAAGGAAATGACATCTGGTCCTGTCCTCTTCTACATCTTGATTTTTGGAAAATATTGTAAGTATGCTCAGTATTTAATTTTGTATACCTAAGTATTTTATGAAATTATCACAGGTACAAGTGTTTCTTACGTACTTTATGCTTTTAAGATAAAAATGCTTTTTCTGACAAAATTGTAATCTCACTTCAGAATTCTTCTTAATAAATTTCTGGTTTATATTAAAAACTGGACTTTATTGTCTGAGTCAGTAATTAAGCATGACTAGCATGTTATATAAACCTATGCTTCATAACAACTAGTTTGTCTAACTGATATTAACAATTATTTTATAAGTAGTTTTCTAATATTTCAACAGGAGTAGCCCTTAAAGAGATTGAATTCAAGGAATATGCCCACTGAAATGTCATGGAAAGTCTGCATTTGTTCCAGTTCTTGTGTAGTTGTATCGTTCCGTTGTCCTAGTCCTTTGTGATTTAATATCATAATTATGCCTCCTCAGAGAGAGATGTGTTCATAGAACTTCTTTTTTAATTAGCAAGATTTTTCACTGTCTCTTAAAAGAAAAAGAAAAAACACAAAGAATGAAAAACAGACTCATGAGGAGCCTAAATGGACATTTTACTTTTGCTATGACAATTTTTGCTTTCTCTGTGTGCCATAGGTTATTTTTCAGAATTTTTGTTAATCAAAGGAAAGAGTAGTTCTGCATGAAACCCTATTTTAATTATTTTATGTAAATAGAAATAAAATGTTTTTGTTTCTTGGGTAATAAATAATTAGAAAATCAAAGCGAATCAAGAAGGAAAACTTTCTGGGTACCTTTAATACCTTGTGATGCCAGGAATAAATAAGATTTAACAAATTTAGACTTGGCAAGCATGTTTATATTTCTCTAGCTCTTAAAAGTTTACAAAAGTTGTTTACACAAAGATATCCTATTGAGGAATGGCTCAGGGTAAATTTCAATCTGAACTCTCCCAATTCTGATGTACCATGCCACACCAAAGTTATATTTTTTTCCTTTCTCTCATTCTCTCCTCCTGACCTCTAGAATACCTCACTTTAATGGTCAAAGGCGGGAGACAGCATCAAAATAAAAAAAAATAATAAAATAAAAAAAATGACTCAAAGTCCTGGAGGAACATTCTAGTTCCTAACTTTTCCATCTCTAATCTTGATTGCTGACATTCCCATTTTTTAACTGGGTGGGGAGGGGATCAATTTGCAAAACTTCACCAGAAATTTACTGTTTCTAATTATAATCTAAGTGTTTAAACTATCAAAGTTTTGAGATTTGCCACCTATAGCCTCATAAATCAGTAACAGATTCTGCCATCTCTTTTTCCATTTAGTGAAAAGAATAAATTGAATAAGCCAAAGAATACTTCCAAAATAGGCATTCTAGTATGAGGAATCAAGGGTATCTATGCATGTTCAGGGCGGGTTGAAAAGCTTTGGCTCAAGTGCTACCAGACATTTCAGGTGAGTAAAAAAAGTTCATACTTCCATGTTCTCTTTTATTAATCAAAAACTATTTTCAAGAGCAGAAAATATAAAATAGATAATAATAATGATGATGATAATGTCAAAACCTTCCAACTTTTTAAATTTAAGTTTTTTTATTTAAAATTTTTTGAAAATGCAATTGTGAGTACTGGAGAACTGCAAGTTCTATTCCTTCTGTGGCTGCCACACAGGATGAGGGCATAAATATCTGAAGCTGAGTTTGGCAAGCAAGATGCCTGGCTGTCTTGGTGTCACCTGGGTGGGTGGAGTGGATGAGGCATTTGACAGGGACTCCTGAAATAGCAACCCAATCCCATGACTCACCTTTTAGTTTATCTCATCACCCAGCTTCACCTAAGAGAAGATTGTCTGGACATCCAGCAAAAGAAGTTAACAGTGACATAAAAACAAAGTCTTAAATCTCAATAATTACCCCATGGTTCTTGTTGTTATTGTTATTTGTTTTTATTTATTATTTATTTGTTTGTTTATTTTCATTTTTTAGGCGAGGCAAACCTTGGTTGACCTCACAGATTACAAGGACCTTGTCAGTTTATAATCCCTGGTCTTCCTAGGTGGTCTCCCATCCAAGTACTAACCAGACCAGAACCTACTTAGCTTCCAAAATCAGAGGGGATTTATTTGTTTGTTTTTAATCCACTTCCCTGTTGCCTGGGGACAGCTGTCATGGAACACAGCTGACCTAAGATGCTTAGCCGTCCTGTCCCGTACTAGCTCTATGGCTTTTGACAATGACTTACCTTCTCTTAGCCTTAGTTTATAAAATGGCAATAAAATCTCTTTTACCCTATCTCCTCCGGGATCCCCTATGTTTGTTTTTTTCTTACATAAATTACCTCCCTGAATCTTCCAAACAACTCTATTATGTAGTTACAGTTAAGCAGGAGAGAAATGCAAGGCCCAAGGACATTCGGCACCTTGTCAGAAGTCTCAAGGAAATAAATGCCAAGATTCAAATATTTTCAAAGTCTATGCTCTTTCCCCTAGACCATGAATATTCTCAATAGTGCTAATGTGTATAAAAGGGCTTTGAAAATGTAAAGTCCTTTATAGACTTAAGCAATTATTAGTCACCCTTTCAACCAAAAAAATACTTACTGAATGCCAGTCACTTTAATACGCAGTAGGACTGGATGGTGATTACGGCATGAGCCCCGCCCTCGCAGGGTAGAGTGGCAAAGAAAGAAAGTTATTCTGGAATTAGCAAACAATGAGACAGGTACACACAGACAGGTGTGACATTAGATTCAAAAAAGGTTTCCTTTTTCGTTCTTAAAAAATTCCTCTGTCTATATTGTAACAATGCTAATTTCTTAGTTTCAAAAACGTATTATGTTGTGTAGGATTTTACCTTTAGGAGAAGCTGGGTGAAGAGTAAATGGAACCTCTCTATACTGTTTTTTCAACTTCCTAGGAGTCTATAATTATTGCAAAATTAAAATAAAAAAATAGTCCTCAGGAAAAGTTATATCTTAAGTCCTTAAATGCTTCCCCATTACTTAAACAGAACCATTAAGCAAAAACAATCATTGTACTGAATACTTTAGATAGGAAGGGAACAAGAGAAATAGAAAGGGCTCAGACACGAACTTGATCCACTTTAGTATTTGCCAAGGACTGACCCAGCTGGTAAGGGCCTATTTTTTAGATTCCACGTGGATACCTACAAGACCATCTGGTCTTTGCCTTGGGTCCCAGCACTGGCATTTTTTCCTAGCAATTCTGTTCTCTATGAAGTAGGGTAAGGGAAGAGGCTTTCCCAGAACAGACCATTAGAACATGAAAAACAGATCATTAGCACATGAAAAAAAGAGAACACTAATATATTTATCCCCGCTCCCAAAGATAGAATAAACTTTCCAAAATGCAGACTATAGAAGTATCTAATATTCCACCTTATATTTTGGAAGACTGCTAACAATTTTGCGTTATTCTTACTATAATTTGGAATCATTTTTAAGTTTCAAATAGAAAGAAAATTAACAAGTCTGTACAAATGCATCATCATCATCTGTGTAAAGGAAACAAATTATTACATTTGTGAACAGAAGAGTTTCGCAAGCATAATTTCACACATTAAGACAAACTTGTTAAACTGAAATGCCTGGAGTTGGATATTCTAGTTAGGTAATTTTTTTTTTTTTGGTCTGAAAAACTGTAAGCAATTTACCATTTGATTTCAAGTCCTATGATTGGGATAACGTGTGTGGTTCTTTTTATATCTACCTTTTTTTGAGAATTTTCCGTGGACCACTAACTATGCTAAATGTTTTACAAATCTTATCTGATTTTGTCCCTATGATAACCCTCTAAATAGTCTCATTTTACAAAATAAGAAAGAGAAAATAAGAAATATTTAGTAGCATACCTGGCATTACCCTTATTAAGCGCTGCAACAAAGATTTCACTTCAAGTCTGTGTCCCTGAAAGGTCTATGCTAGAAGAATGTGATTCAGTTCTAATGCTTTCTAAAGCTATAACATCTTTGGATTAATTAGGGCCACTTTATTTCTTAAATCTTTCATAAAAAGATGTCTTTTTTAAAAAGTCAGTGCTCCCCAATTATTTCTAAGAATTATTCTTTGGGAGACAGACTTTTGGGGCTCTTTCTCTATTCCACGTGGAGCTCTTGCCTCCTCTCTCCACCTCTCTCTCCTCGTCCTTTTTCCACGAACCCTCTTATATTGCCCAGGACTCCAGTTCTCATTCTATCATGAAACGACAGTGCTCTCTTCTTAGCCCTGTCTCCAAACTCAATTCCAGGTCTACCTTTAGTCATGGTGTTCAGCTGAACCAAAATGTCACCCAGATGATTAGCTCCAAAAAAAGGACAGGGGATAATCTTTATACATTCTTTGATTTAAGATTCAGCCTTTTTAAAAGACAGTTGAGATTTTAACTATTTTGTTGTTGTTAGAGAACTGAGCATGCACTTGAACAGAGAGGCCATACAATTATGTGAGCTATTTCATTTTTAAAAATATCTAATTGTGCTAATGTCTCCTAGTGATCTTTCCTTTGGCTCTTACCTAATTCATTTAAAGGAAAATAACACAAAGAGTTTTTTCTGCCTCCAGCACTCTGAGTTTCAAGTGAATGCTCTCTGCTTAGATAGTTCCCTCTTATGTCTTTCAAGTACTTCTTTATTTAAGCTTTATAAAATCAAACTCTTTTGAGTTCAAAGGAAACTTAAAGCTTAAAGAGTACAATACCTTCATATTTACATTGGAAAAAATTAAGATTGTATAACTGTGCTCCCTTTTGTTTTCAGCTCTATTATCCTTTACTCACTTTCAAAAGTGGGTCTCCAAATTTCATAGGTAGCATAAGAAGGGCAGGAAACATCAGAAGGGTAAAACATCACCTGAAAATAGAAAAAACCTAACTGAGGTTATGAAAATAAATTTATTATTCACCAAAATCCTAGCCTCAAAGATTAAGACTTTTCCAACACACTAAGTAGTATAATCATTTTTCACATACCTGCCTGGTAGATAGATACTTTAAATCATCCTCGCAACCAAGGAGA